TGGGCATCTTTGTTGACTATGAAGAGGGAGTGGTTTCTTTCTATGATGTTAATTCTAAATCACATATCTATGCTTTCATTGACTGCCACTTCACAGAGAAACTTTATCCATACTTCTGTCTTCAAGACAACGAGAATGGAAAAAACTCTGCCCCTCTCATCATAACACCTGTACCTCAAACACACTGAGTTTGTTTTTCTTGAAAGGTCACAGAAAACTTAACATAACAGCATCTTCCAAATGTTACATTGTTAATTCAACTGCCTTCTTTAATATTGAAAATATTTTCTCTCCATGCATGGGTATATAAAAGAAGTGTGCCTTCTGAGCCTTTTCTTACAGTGTATATGTATAAATGTAAACTGATGATACTAATGTTGCAGTGTATTATTGTCAGATGCTGTTGTATTACAATGGATGAGGTTTTCTGTGTCATTTATCATGATATAATGTAATGTTACTTTGTTATGATATTCTGTTGCTGTATCATGCATACTTTGATTGTTCAAATAGGTTATATTAGTAAAGTGTAACATGCCTGTACATACAGCAACTACCCTGACTATGATTTATCAGATGGAGATTTACAGAAAGTGACAGTACTGGGAAAAATAGACCAGTGTGTATTAAGTTTTATTTGATTGATTTATTGTAATTCACAGTAGCTTGAAATGAAGAGCTTTTGTGCATTTGACAAGTGGTGTCTAAATAAACTACAAATCTTGACAGATTAACTTGTGTCATTTCTACCTAGAAGCTCTGTTGCAATATTAAACTCATAGCTGTAAAGCATTTGAACATCTCTTAAGTGGGTGTAACTCATAAAAATGTAACATATGGTTACCAAGATGGTGATGATGATAAACATTAATACCTGTTAAACACCCATGCCATTGTGAGCATACAACATACTGACACACCATATTTCTTACCTGTTTAGAATATTTATGCACACCATATTTCTTACTGCATACTGCATATAATGTATATATATTCATTATAGCCCCTATGTTTTTTATTGTATCTTTATAAGATTTTATTTTATTATTCTTTATTGTACTTTTGCTACATTTCTCCTGTGCTGCTGTGTCAACTTGAATTTCTCCCACTGGAGATCAATAAAGGAACATCTGATCTGATGTTAGCTTTTTAGCCTCAATAACTACTGTGCCTAGTTAGCCTCAGAGCTGCTAGCATAATTAATTGTGACAAACCTTTCCCATGTCCTAAGATGAGAGCTGAGATAAAATAGTTCCCTGTTGATACATTACATCTTTACATCTCTTCCAAGATCAAGCAATACATCAGGACTATAATTTGTAGGATACGTACAAATTAGCAGTAAGATAACATTTGTGGGTGATATTTGGCAAGAATAAAACTGGAGAGTCTATCTTTAACTGTTAAAATACTAATACTCTTGTTAATGGAGTTGAAAGTCAGCAGTCAGTCTGTCACTCTGACTAGTGTTGCCTCCTCCATCACACGCCCTGGAACCACAAGGCCATGCCCCCTACTTCATTCTCTGCTGCATCTTTCAAACTCAATGGGGAGACACGCCAAGTGTAGTTTGCTTTAAGTTTTTGGTTTCAAAAACATGATACTTTACAGGTACGAAAGGTAATGTATGCCAGTTCAGTTGTTCCCTTTCTTTGTGGACTATAAAGAGGGAGTGATTTTGTTCTATGATGTGAATTCTAAATCACATATGTATTCTTTCACCTGCTTCCACTTCACAGAGAAACTTTATCCATACTTCTGCCCTCAAGACAACACTGCCCTTCTCATCATGAAGTCTATACCTCAAACAAACTGAGTTTGTTCTTCTTTAAAGACCACTGAAAAAATGAGCACTGCTGTTTTCTTTTAATTCACAGTGGCGTGAAATGAAGAGTTTTTGTGCATTTGACAAGCAGGTCTAAATAAACTACACATCTGGACGTGTCAAGTATTCCTAATCTCAGTCACAATATTAAAGTAGAAAAATACAGTCCCATTTTTTTTATAAGACTTAAGGCATTTACACGACTTGAATGCAACACATCTGTTATGTACACACAGAACAATACAGTACCTGTACACATTTCACCACTATAGAGATGACAGCACAAGAGCAGCCATGACCACCTCTCTTGGAGATGGTTCAGTGTTTTGCACAAACACTGTACCAGCTGTATGATGGCACTCAGCTATGTCTCTGTCATGTTGCCGGCTTTGTGAGGCCTGTAAGTCAATCAATAGTCGTCCGCCCACTGCTTTCACTCCTGACTCCTGCCTATGTGCTCCTGCCCCCACACCGATTTGTGTGTGTATGTGTGTGTGTGTGTGATAGAGTGGATGCACACATTATCTTTGAGTGTGATGCGTGGGCCGATGTTCTTAAGCACCGCTGATGAAGCTCATCCATAACTGTGATTAAAACCTGGTGTGTTTCATTGTGCTTGGATTTCATTAATGGGACACAAGCCTTTTTTTCTTTAGTGACAAATGTCTTGCAATATTTTGTTCAAAGTCGGTTACTACTAAATCCTTTGATATAAGATTAATTGAGTGAGCAAGTCAGTAATGAAAGAGGAACAATGGAGACATCAACAGTACACTGTAGAGCGTGGGAATCAAACCTCCTAAAGTAGATATTTCCAAGAGGAAAGCAGTATGTAGTGGGGATATAAATGT